ACCTGATCCCCAAGCAGGGTGCTGTGGGTGACCTGGCAGGTGGTGGCCCCTACAAGCCCTCTCAGGCAGGAGGGGAAGGCAAAGGGAGGAGGCCTGCCCGGCCACCACAGATCAACTTAAGTCTCTGCTGGCGTTTCCCACAGCCCTGGGCGGTAGTTGGGACGCATCCCCAGAGATTTCCCTTCCCTCCCGCGGCAATGGAGGCAGAGGTGTGTTTGGCACCCACCTGCCTGATGCAGCTACCCTGACACCCACGCATCTGGCGCTCCCTAAAAAGCTTGGCATCTCCCTGTCTGCCACCAAACCCACCAAATGCCCTAGGTGCAGCAGGGAAAGGGTTGTTTCCCAGAAAATCACCTGCCTTGCTGGGGTGGGCAATGGGTCCAAAAAAAGACGCTCCGCGCGCACAGACTCTCTCAAACAGGCCAGATGGGCAGCTCTGTGCCAAATCTCTTGATGCTATCCCCAGTCATTTGCGAAAGACGCTCCTGAAAGCTTTGCCTCTTGGGTTCAGGAAAGGAGACGTGGGTGGGGAAATCCAGCAGCCCTGACGCAACACCTCGTGCAAGGACAGGGCAAGCAAGAAGCCCTCTGAAAAGAAAGCGCTTGCTAGGCTTTCCCGTGAGATGCAGGCTCAATCCCACAGGATACCCAGTGCTCCAAAGCCCTGCATATATCAGGACCAAAATCACAGGCTGTAAGATTTTGTGGCTGGGGCTCAGGGGTGTCACAGCCGCCACATGAATGCCAGTTACCACAGTGACCGCTCCCTTGCATTTCCCCAGCAACTGAGCTGCCAGATATGGGAGAGGAGGCCCCAATAACCAGATTATTAGCGTACTGGTATTGATTCTTGCTCTTTCCATTTGTGCCTTACCAAGGGCACAAATGCTCCTCTCTCTTGGTATACAAATTTCCTACATTTAACGGTGGAGAACATGAGAAGAGGAGGGCAAACAGTAGATTTTACGCAGTAGCTGTTTTAGGAGATAGCGACAGATTGGGAAAGAAGACCATGTAGATCTTCGTGACCAACTGCTACTTGAACATCTGAAGAGTGCATAGGGTCTTTAGGTCCTCCTTGCAGAAGGAGGATGGCAGCAAGGCAGCGACATGTCCATCCACTAGCCCTTCCTTGTCAGCCCTGCCAGAAAACACACCTGGGACTCAAGCACACAAGGAATCCCAACCAGGGCAGCAGCCAGGCCTCAGGCAGGTGGACACTGAAGTCAACCAGACCCCAATGCAAAGGGCCACCCTGTAAGAGCCACTGACTCCTGACAGGTACGCAAGGCCTGTCCAAACACTAGTTTGTTGTCACCAACCAAGGGGAACCCCAGAGACATTAGGAGGGCTTGTTCACCAGCGTGGGTTGTCCTCTGCGATCCTGGCCAGATCTCCTGGGAACACACATCTCGGTGCTTACAGGAGCGTGGGTGCGAGCGTGAGCAATTGAAACGTGGGAGAGAATGAGCAAAAGGGAGTAAAATCCACTTATCCAGGTACAGAACCAAGGAAAACCACCCAGAGAGAAAGCCCACACAAGAAGTTTCTCTGCATTAGCCACCAATGCAGAAAACAGCATCATTTTCCAGGAGCATCAGCCAGGCCCCATCTCTAGGCAGGACAGGGCACATTCACTGAAGAAGCCAAAAATTGTTTCTGAATACCATTTACAGAATCCAATCTACTGCCAGGAGCCTGTAGGAGGGAGAGCAATGGCTCCTAGGGGCTTGGCAGTGACATTACACTGCAGTGCTTTTCTTCCTTTTTTTTTTTTTTTTTTTTTTTTTAAAGGTGCTGCTTCTCTTGTCCAGACCACACATGCTTTCCGCACAACGAGGAAGAGAAAACACTCCCGTTGTTCAGGCATACTGCATGAAGCAAGGTTGATGGGCAGGTCTGGCATCAGAGCGACGGGAACAGGAACTCACCAGGCCCCAGAACAAGAGGGGCAGCAACTCCCCTTGCAGCACCAATTAGAGAGCTTCAACCTGACCCCAAGAGTAGCTGAGCCCTCGCTGCACAGAGATCTTGGATCAACGCAGTCCTGCTCCCAGCACTGCAGATAACCAGTTGGGCATATCAGACATCCTAGGGGCACAGGCGCAGACCAGTGTGGGGATCACATGCTTTCCCACCAGTGCTGTCAGCTTATCTGGCTGTGCCACCTAGGGTCCCACAGAGCCTGCTCCAGGGGCTCTCATCAGGGACGCAGCCAGCAAACCCCCAGCCCAGGGACAGCCATAGCAGTAGGTGCACAGGTCCCAGCATAGCCCTGTCTGCTGCTAGAAGCAGCTGTGCTTGATCTTCTCCCGGTGCCCTCAATCAAGCAGAGCTGCCTGGCCCACTGTGCACTGGGGCTCCTGGTGCTTCACAGGGGTCATCCTAGCCAAGGAATTGCCTTACTCCCTGTAGCCTTAAAGCCTCTCTGCTGTTACAGCTGGTGCTGCCAGCTTTGCCGCAGAGGGGGAAGGCTCATATGCCCCCTTTCTCAGCAAGGGGGCCAAGAGAGGCGCTGGAGAGAGAACAAGCGTTTACAATTAATAGTTTTATGTTTCCCTCTCACCAGGCTGCCCTCCTAAGCCAAGAAATGAGCATGGCAGCTTGTAAATAGCTCCTTGCTCCCCTGTAAAAGCCTATCCCAGCAGGCTCCTAAGTAGCTCCCTTCCAGATTCAAAAAAATCAAAGCTACAATTAGTCCTGGGCTCTTCCAGAGGCAGGGCCCAAGGAGGCACAAGAGCATGCAAAACAAAGCAAACAGCCAGGCCTCTCCTTGAGATCACTTTTATTTTCAGTTGTTTTGGCAAGGATGTGTGGGTGTACATGGTGCATGTAGGTCTGGGCATGCATGTGTGTGCGTGCAGAGTCCTGCCCAGTTATGTAGATTATACAAATACCTGCAATTACAGTCCATGAACTGAGCCATGAAGCATGTGATGAGTGCTACACTGAGGCCCACGTGCTTGCCTCCCTGCGGCACTGGGGGGCAGCTCCTCTTGTGCTTACTAGAGTGCAGGATCTCCCTCTAGCCACCCCACCACTCCAAGGATGCCAGCCCAGGATCCTGTTCCAGAGGGTAGAGGGCAGCCGAGCATTGGGGTCTGGCTCTGCAGGAGAGACCTGGAGGGTTTCCACCTTGCTTAATGAGCTCCTAAATAGCGTTTCTTGCAGTTCCCTTTAACAAAACTGTATCTATTGGCTTGCAGTGAGGGGCCCCTACTGCTCCAGCAAACTTTTCCTTTGAGCTGGTTAGAAAAGAGAAGGGAACGGGGGCCCCACATAAGCTCTCCGGTGCTACAGCACAGCTGAGCACATCTTGGATTCCCAGGAAGGCAGCACCCTAGTGCACTACTGAGTTTTCACAGCCACCTTGAAACCATACCACAGGGGATGCTGGAAGTGCGACGACCTCTGCTTCCACATCCCACAGTCTCCTCTTGCTGATTTTAGAGGCAGGTTTGATCCCATTCCAGTTTCTATTTCTGTTTAACTTTAAGATGAATGCCCCAAAGTCAGAGCAGAGGCAGAACGTGGAAAGAACAGCGTCACCCTGAAAGAAGACTAATAAGACCAGTGCTGGCCTCGTAGCATGTTGGATCCAAGCTTATTTCTATGACCCTTTTGCCTTTAGCACAGTTGAAGCAGAGGTGTCCCATCGCTGAGGGCCCTCTGCAATTACCACAGGTCTCCAAGATCTCCAAGTCCTAAGATTGGCTGGATACGCAGGATCACCCTTCAGGCTCTCTCTTGTTCTGCTTCAACAGATGTGTGTTACTCCAGGACACACAATTCCTCATGCGTTGCACAGACCCACCAGCAGGCCAAGTTGCCATCCTGGCAGTTTCACTTGGACGGATGCGGGTTTCAATCCCAGGTTCTGCTTCAGAGCACAACACAAGGTGCTCCAGGACACGCTCCGAGTGCTGAAAAGCCCTGCAGTGCAAAGCAACTTGTTCGCTCTGCTTTCAAACCTGCCTCCACCAGTTTCGGTAGAAAATAAACTGGCCAGCAAGCGAGAGGGTCTGCAAACCGATGAGCAAAACCCAGTACAGTTCTCTTAGGCAGAGGAAGCATCTACCAGCACATTCTCCTCCTATTCAAAAGGAGTTAAATTCACTGCCAGCTCCAGAGGGAGACAAGTGATGTCCCAGTCCTTCTTGCCCTCTTCATAACACGCTTGCAGTAAAGGCTGTAGGGTGCTCCACAGAGGCCCTACTGGTGTCCAACAGTTCAGTAGATCTCCAAACAGGGACAAGCACAGAAGGAATGCGAATGCAGTGCTCTAAATTCAGGCATCTCTGTAACACCACCACCGGGCCCCTATCCCTGGGGCCCAAGTGCTTTGGCACCAGACTCCAAAGCGAAATCATCAGTCTTTTCCAGCTGGCCCTACTGTGCACTGCCTCAAATTCCCTGTGCCAGTTCTGTCGCGCTCAGTTTTTGTCTTTTGGGGTTTAGAAGGATAAATAGCCAGCGACTGTAACACCACGGAGAGATAGGAACACCTTGGGAGCTGCTAAGTGAGGTCTGAGAGACAGGAGCTCAGCAAGGGGGTGCTCTGTGTGGAGGACTCCGAGATGCATCCTTAAGAGAGCAACAGCAAAACCAAAAAAACCAGTAACCACTCGGCATGGTTCTCCTGCAGATCTCCTGCTTGGCAGTTGCAAATGGGAGACATTTTTGGACTGCATAGAAAATTAAATGGCTTTTGCATATTAAAAAAAATACAGATGAAAACAGTTATACCAGTTACTGAATAGTGGGCGGATAAGCGATCCCCATTTCATATTAAATAGACCCAAAGACTAGACTGATCTCCATATTGCCACACTCCTGGCGTAACGGCTTCAGCGCAGAGAGAACCAAACGCCTGCAAAGCCCAGGTAATGCCATGCTCCTGCCGAGGCAGTGTGCTCCAAGAGGAGGGCTGCGCTCCCAAGGAGCAGCTGGTGAGATGTCTGCTTTGTCCTCTTGCTCCTTCAATGCTCACGATATCTCGGACCAGGCGGGCACACTGGGAAACAGGCCTCTGGCTGGAAAAGGATTCCAGTTTGTGGTTTCTTTACTCCACGCAACATCACAGCAACAAATCACTAGTTTCCTCCTACGGGGATGGAAAGAGAGGTGAGTAGCAGTGAAGAGAGGAGGAAGAGGCCTCCAAACTTGGGAGGTGACAGCAGGGAACGCTCCAACACGAGCTCCAACTATATCAGGGCTCTCCACGACTACCGGGTAGCAAGACTCAAAACAAAAGGAGCTTCCTAGCGCTACTTCCCTGTTCAGTGATATCTGCCCTCCCTCCCACTCCCTCCAGCTGTCACAGCTAATTTCTAACAGGTTTTGCTGCAGCAATGCAGAGCCACAATCAATGTTTGTCACTGTCGTGAGAGAGGTTCAAATGACCTGCCACCTCCAGCGATGGGCAACACATTAAATCTTTGAACCCAAGCTCTCTCCCTAGCTAGAATAACACTCTAAATAAGCCGACCAAGCTGTAAGCTTTTATTTGTCAGCTTTCCCCTTCAAAGTGAGAAACAACTGCTTTTTTTTTTTTTTCCACCCAGTCTCTAAAATCTCCACCCAGAACGGATTCTGCCCTGCGCTCCCCAAAGTTAAACTCCTGGCAAAGGAGAAATACTACACCTTTAGTTGCATCCCTGCATGCAAGGCTATTTTGAAGGACCAGAAGCCAGGGGACCAACCCCAATGCAACATCAGCAAGTACCAAAAGGAGGCACAACAGCGTCCCACAGCAGTCCCAGGCCTGGCCAGCCCTGCTATCAGCCCGCATCCTGGTGGGGCCTGCCTGCCAAGCAGCATTGCCCACCCCAGGTCTAGGGGAGAGGGCCCCTGTTCCATCACAGCCCCAAGGACTAAGAGCTGCACGTTAAGCATTTTAAGTCCCTCATCTCTCAGACCTCCCACAGGGCCTGACAGATCCTGGCTCTGGAAGTGCCTGCGCGCAGCAGGACTGTCCTCCAGCAAAGTGGTTAAGACTTTTCGAGCACAGAAGGATGGTGGGGAGGGGAAGAGGAACCCTCCTCCCCACAGTTCAGTACAAGTATGAGAGGTCATGTCGTCTCTGCAAACCCAGCCAGGCCTTCACGCCCCTGACTTCATCTTGCTGCAGAGAAGCAGCTCTACTCGCAGAGAAAAGGGGGAACTTTGCCCTATCCCAGAAGTGTCCTGGCTCCCCAGCCTCATCCAGGGCTTTCCCCCTAACGAACACAGGCTTGCACTGCCCTTCCTAAAGCAGTACGTCTGTCTGCTCCTCCAGCCAGGGCCCCAACTCCCTTGGCACTAGCCTGCAGAGGGTGCTGGATACACAGAGACACCTCCAGCAAAGCTCTCCTTGCTCTCATTGCAGCCAGCACCACGTGGCACCCCAACAGCATGGGGCCGATTTACACTAAATCCGATATTTGCATGCAGCAAAGCTCATGCAGTGCAACTACCAGGGCTCAGCTGTAGGGCACAAACCGGATAGCAACGTCTCAGAAGACCTCACACAGAGCAGAAGCCAGCACTATGGTGCCAGCACTCAAGACTGCCCTTTCCCCGCAAGGGCATCAAGGATCGTTTGCACAGCGCTAGCCACACTCTGCATCACTGGGTTTCTGCACAAAGCTGCCTGGGTGGCTTTGCTAAGAGGAGGACCCAGAACTGGATTTCTACAGCCTCAGCGGCCACAATGCACGGAGAGTACTGCACTAGCAATGCCAGAGCATCCGGCCACCGCAGAGCACGAGCTGCTGGGGGCTAGTGATAAGATGTGGCAGGTACCCAGGGAGTACTGTTTGCCCTTCTTCCATCCCTGCCTGATTACAGCACCTCCTGGTGTGTGAACCTCCTGTGAACGCACGTGGCAGGATATACTTCCCAGCCTGCTTCTCATCCCACTTCCCAGACTGCTGCCCAAGGGTGCTGTGTGGGATGCAGCCAGCTGTTTTGCAGTGGAGCCATTTTAAAGGCTTCATGGCACCAAACCTCCCCTCCCTCCCCCCCTCTCCAAGTCTTGGCCAACTGCCGCACTCACTTGTCCAAGAACAAATCCAGGGAATGCCGCTACAGCTCATTTTTTCAAGAGACTTTCCTCCACGCAGGTCCAAATGAAATGGTACCAAGAACACTTTTACATTCATCGTGAGATCCAAATGGGTTTTTAACACGCAGTCAGTGGTCCACAGAATCCTATCCCCAGTGCTTCCCCTCCGGCCAGTGGCCCTGCCATCTGGAGCAGTCGTTTCTCTTTGTGCCTTGTCGTCCCCAACCTCCAGGTGACTGCATCCACCCCAGCCCCAAGGCCCCCACCTGGGAGCTGTCCCCTGCAGCAATTCAGAGTCCAAAGTCCCATTGATCCCTGTCAGCATGCAACTCTGCAACCGGAGAAGATAGGAGCACTGTAGAGCATCAGCCATATTCTGCCTGGTGGAAAACCTTCAGCACCAGCACTGCCAATTTATCTGGAAGAGGAAAGGATAGAGAAATAGTAATGAGTAGCATAAGCAGCAGGGTTTATAGGGCTTTACAAACACGCTCTTTTCTCTCAATTGCTAAACAGGGAGGGTGAGGGCCTTAAAACAAAGCAGTCCTTTTCAAGAATGCAAGTTTCCTGCCAGCAGAGCAATTATGAAACTGGGATGCTGCTGTTAGACACTGTGGAGGGCAGGCTGGAGGACAGGAAGACAAGCGCATGGGGACGGGCTTGACAGCACTGTACGACTGACATGGCAGCCTGGGATCAGAAATGTGCTGTGCCACACACCGCCGGAGGACCAAACGCACAGACAGCTGTGGCCTGTGGCTCAGCCTCAGGGCAGCTATCTTCTTTCCTGCCCTAAACAGGCACTTCAAGGTCACCTTCACACACACCTCAACAATGGTCTACCACCCAAGCGGGATGAGCTTGTTTCGGGGCATGAGGGGACTGAACAGAGAGGACAGTATCCAAGGTTACTTTACTTTAAGATACCAAAATGAAGTAACAGGCATCCAGATGCCGCACAATGGCAGCCACCACCAAGACACCTGGCTTTCTCCTCCAAGCTCCCTGCCAAACCCCTTGCACCACTCAAAGGAAAGCGGGCCACCTCTGGGACACTGCCTCTGTTCTGCAGGGAACCCCGTGCATCAACGAGCTAAGGCTCTGCTCATTCATTCCCATGTTCGCTCCCACCACAACACAGATCCGTTCTCTGAGCCCAGACTCATTCAGTGGAGGGAAGGACACACATTGGCTACTGATGCGTGGGAAGGCAGAGCTGCCATCCAGGGGGACCTCACCAGGCTGGAGGATGAGACCAACAGCAACACTGTGAAGCTCAAAAAGGACAAGCGCCCAGCTCTGTACCTGGAACAGAGCAACCCCATGCCCCACAGGCTGGGCCAGCTGGCTTGCGGTCTGGTGGACAACACATTGAATACAAGCCAGCAGTGCACCTTCATGGCAATGAAAGCCAAACTGTAATACAGGAAACTCCTACGGGACAGAATGAAAAAAAATTCTGCCCCCCAGAAGAATAGCACAAGTCTAAGACAGAGTCCAGAGCAGTGGTGGTATCCTTGGGGGCCAGCCTTCACCTGCATGAGATCCCAAGCAACCTGAGCTGACTGTGAAGGTGGCCCTGCTTAAAGCAGGGGGATAGACCGAGCCCTCCAGAGGCCCCTTCCTACCTAAACCTGTCCATGCCTGTATTATCTCCTGATCTCCTCTGCCTACTGTGTGTGTCTTGCATCTGCCACAACACAGCTCAGGGAACAGCTCATCCCACTTTACTGTACCTCTTATCCTTTGAGCGGGCTGTCTACATCCACAAATAATTAGAACTGTCCCCAGGCTGCGTGGCTGCTACTTTTCAAAAAAAAATGCTTAGTGAGGGCTTGTTTTACGTAGGCTTTCTGGTGCATACTGACAGGGGGATGGGGGTCTGCTTTCAGAGCTCACTTGGAACAAGGGCTGATGACAGTAGGAGTGGGGGGGTAAACCAAGGCCACATTAACTCGTTCGCTGCCATTCTTGGGACAGATGATCTCCGTCAGTCCCTCTGGTCTTGGCTGACTCAGCAGTTCTCCTGTGAATAAAAGGGAACAGGATGAAAATGCTTAAGCACCAGGAAGGCAGTTTTTGCAGGACACATCCTTTCAGCAGGCCTTTTCCCCCTTCTCCGTCCCCCACCAAGTAAACACCCGTGACCGATGCAAGCGAGCGCAGCTTAAGAGGGCTCGCTGGTCCTGCAACCCAAGCAGGTCTCATCTGCGTAACCATGGTGAACATCCTGGTGATTACAGCTTGGAGACACGCTGCTCCAAACAAAAGCAACATCTGCCATCCTTTCCGTCTCTGCTTTGTATCACTGCAGACAGACTTGAGAGCTCCTCAGGGACTCACTGCAATTCATAGTGTCTAGGATTGAGCCTAATGAGATGGAGGCTTTAGGAGTAGGTGTTTTAATTATGATATGGGGGCAGATGGGATCCAGAAATTTACCTTCAAGCTCCATGAAAGGGAAGAAGTTGACCTACAATATCAGCAGGATAACTGGTAGACAAATAAAGCTACGTACACAAGTTTTGTTATTCACATCTGTGTACTATGGCCATCCACACCCACAAGGCTACCCAAAAAGCAGCTGTCCTTCAGTTCAAGCAGAAGGACACTACAAGGACTCTGACAAGACCACCTTCCTTGGCATGAGCCAAGGAGCAGATGTCTTGAAAGCACTGCCCCAGACATGCTTTTTTTGCATCACTTAAGTGCATCTCTTCTAAGAAAGTCTAACAAGGATCTTAAACTAGCCACAGACACATGCACATCCTCTAAACCCTCTCATTATCTCCTGTCCCATCCCCATGCAACCCTGCTTGATGCAGTTGGCTGGCTGTTGGCTCCAGTATAGCGATTCCTGAGCTGCGCTTCTGGGAGCTACTCAGGAGCTGTGGAGATCTTGCTGTTCTGCAACAGCTGGCCAGCCACAGGGCACCTCCTTCTCCATAGTTTTCAGCTGCCAGAACAGTATTTAAGAGCAGCTAAAAATACGCAAGAGGATTCCCTAACTCCCCTTTCCCTGGGTGGGCTTGCCACAGCTGCTGTGGGACTGCTACTTCCCATCAGGGCCACAGGCCACACGATACTCTGCTGAGTGTGCAAATCCCAGCTGTCAGCCGTCAGCTCTTCCCTTCCTGAAGGGATACCAACCCTACGGGTCAGGAGCAGCGGGGGGCTCTCGCGGCACGTGTTCTGCTAAACAAGCTGCCTCAGCTCCATTGTTCGAGTACCAAGTTGGCAACTCCACCATGGGCACCTTTGTGGCATGCAGTCCAGGGCAAGAGGCACAGCGAGGTGTGAAAGCTAGGTGCCGAGATGTGCCCAGCTCCAAGGAACAGCCAGCTCCCAGCCAGCTGGCTCCCAGCAACTCAAGTTTCCTCCCTGCTCTGCTTCCAAACTAGATAGTCCCCAGCAGGACAGATTCCCCAGCCATCAACATGCCACTTCCCCAGCACGGCCCAACCATGGCTTAGCCACCCATCAGCACCAGTGGTCTCTCTCGATACCAACCTGGCAGGCAGGGTCTACTCTTAACAGGACGGCAGCATCCATGCCGAGCAAGGCCTTGTTTCTTCTGCCGAGGCCACCCATGGAAGTAGCCAACAGCCCTAGGCAGAGGTGTCATGCCACAGCTGGCCTGTGCTGGCTAGATCAGTGACTTGCTTTACAGAGGCAGCCAGGCAGCTATAAGCAGGCTACAGTCACAGGTTTAGCCCAGGAGGACTCTCTGTACCCAATGATCAAGCAGCCAAGGTGAGCTGTCTCCACTTCCACTAAAGCCTCCGTGACAGTCAGTCCTTGGACTCTCCTGTTGTAAAATGCTCTCATGATAAATCATTCTGCTGTTTAGCATTGGACTTCTGCTGGGATTGCTAGACACCCCAGGAAAACCCAAAAAGAAATCACACCTCTAAGAACTACTGCCCGGCCTGGCTGGGGGTGGTGCGGCCAACAGGCAGCCTTGTCATTCCTGGGATCTCCCAATGTCAATGTCCTCTCCTTTCTCCCCCTACCGTTTCTCCTCCCATTTTCATAAAAAACAACAACAAAAAAATCCCAAAAACCCAGCAGATCTAAAGGCCTTGCTCTTTCCAAAGTGTTCAGAAGACATAATTTGGTATCATCACAGCAAAGGGGAGGGTTTGGTGAGGAAACATACACACTTCCTCTTGAGAGATACCCCATCACTGGAGCCATCAATTCCAGTTTGCCCCCACAGCTCTCACTCTGAATTCACGTTTGATTCAAACATATACCCTCGTCTCACACCCACGCTCAAACCCGAAGCGGCAGAACAGCTTTTAAGCCACCCAGACACGTCTCTCCAAAACAGAAGAATCGTGACAGTATTTGCAATTCAAAATTAACTCTGCAAGGCGGCATCCTCAATTACGTGAGTCATCACACATCAAAAGGGGCACCACGTCCCAGCAAACACATCAACCACAGAGTCCCAGGTCCACATCCCGGTGACTCCCAGGCTGAAAATGGTTAAAGTGCATAATGGTGCACTGATAAGTCAGGGCTAATATCCATTAGACCTTAAGGCGCAGGAGTGCAGAAAGACCGGTCTGTCTGCTTGAGTCTTTATTCCCATTTTCACCTCCCCACTTCAAGAATCCTTAGAGGGAGATTTCCTATGCCGAGGAGATTGCTGCAGGGTAAAATAGGCACCTAATTTGCAGGCAAGCCCCTTTCCAGAGCCCTTCAATCAACTGCCCTTTTCTTTATAGCTTTACCTTTCCCTCTAAGTCGTCATCGATGCCTCTGCAAACCTCAGAGCGTCAGACTTCATGCTATATCAAACTGCAGCAGCCCAAGGCGAGGGCCTGAGCACTAGGACCTTCAAAAGAAATCTGTCAGCGAAGAAACTATGGGCTCCACTCCATGGAGGAAGGTTTGTATGAAATGCACACAGAGACCTGCAATAAGCAGCTAACCTGTGGCACTGGACATGCAGATCCTAGGGATATTAACAGGTTGAGAAAAGACAGAATAAACTTTGCGTGTTCTCAGCCAGGAGAGCAAGCCTGGCCTCAGGGATGAAGCTCGCCTCACTCTGCCCCCAGCCCCATCTGCATCCTCTCCAGCCCCACTCCGCTCTACTGTGGACACGCACGCTGCTCCCCAAAAGACTTTTCTCATCATCCCCCTCTAGTCAGGGCATGAATCACAGTTGCACCCCAGCACAAATAGGTTGTTTCACAGGAGACAGGAGCACCGCCTGATCCTGCCAGAAGCTTAGTAAATCAATGGATATAGTCATCTCTGCTCACACAGTGCCTTATCAGATCCATGCTGACGTGGGCAAAAGCTCATCTATGCATCCTTCCGATTTCTACCCCTCCCATTTAGGGGATTTTTCACTGTGTCCCACTGCCTTCCCATCACCGCCTTCTGGTTCTCCTGTCTTTGCTGCGCAAGCTCATCACAGTGCTACACCAGACACCTCTATCTAAACTGGACACTGCATCACTGTTAAATAAAAAGCATAGTGCTAACTCCGTTGCAATGGGTGGTCTTCAGAGCTGTAACACCAAACTAGCACTGCAACAACTCTTGGAGATAACTCTCCAGGCTCCGAATCTCTTGGAGGTTTCGGAAGCCTCACATTTCTATTCAGAAATTATTCAAACTGCAGGAGACTAGAAATAAAAGTTGTCAGGGCTGAGGCAGGGTTGGAGAGAGAGAGAAGATCAAATAATTATTTCACCGATAAAAAAAAAAAAAAGAAAAACCTAAGTCCCTGGTATGTGGTAGCGCTTGCTTGGTTTAACCATAAGTCTAAATGCAGCTGGAGCAGTCCATGTTTGCAGCACTTGTCCTGCCCTTGAGTATTTTAGCCAGCCAGTCTGTATTTTGATAGCACATTCCCTCATGAGCGTGTCACAAATTTTACTGGAAATCTCAGTTCTGCCTGCTGCTGCTGAAAGGTTGCCCTGCGATTGTACACAGACAAAACACAAAGCTTTTCCTGCTCTCAGAGCAGCCTTTGTTTTAACATTAGTTTACACAGAAGCCACTAAGGTCTTAACCAAAACTCCAATTACTTTGTCCTAAGGCTGGAGAGTAACAGAGGGGAGTTTTTGAAGAACAATCCCATCTTCCAGGAGATGAGTCTGCGTCACAGTGATTATTTAGCTGATTTAGGAGCGCGAGCTCTATTTGCAAAGGCACTTTCCTGCTAGAGCCTTGCTGACCCAAGCCAGATTTTTAGATGCATCTAGGTCCCAGTTGATAGGAGAAAGTAACCCACCAGCCCTGGCTAAAAGTAAACAGATGGCAGATGTTTTAGAAGATGCTTCTTTGGCACATCTCCATTTGCAAGGGGGTAAAGGGTACACAAGAATTGCACCTGCCCCATGGCCACTCTCCCAGCATTTCAGCACAGAGGCTGGTCTCCAGCATGAGGCTAACTGTGCTGCATAGCACGCTAACCCCGACACAGGTACTAAGACCCTCTCAAGAGGCTGCCATGGCCATTTTTAGCTATGGCGTAAGCCAGTTCAGAAACTCCCCTGGGCAGCTGAGAAAGATCCCATCTTACACATCCAACACACAAGGCTTTCTCCTCCTCCCTCTCTAGTTCACAACTACTATATTGCTTAGCAGCTCCTTGGGGCACGTGGTGACGCAGGAACAACAAGCATCGCTCAGGCAAGGGCTGGGTGAGTCATGCTGCCCTCCTCCCTTCTGGATGCCTCCTACACATAGGCAGAAGTCTACCCTCACGCAAAGGCAGGAGCAAACCTTTGGCCATGATGAAAGAGCTACTAGAAGAGGCCTTTCCCTTCAGTGTCAGCAGCTCACCAGAAGCAGGTGCTTCAATTTCCATTGCCGAATGGGCCCAGGAGCACAGACAAACATAGGTATACAATTTTTGGTCACACAGAGTTAGGTCCATTATTCTTTCTGGCCTCGATTTATAGTGATTTGCGGTGGGATGCCCCTCTCAGAGCCCATGCCAGCAAGACCCAGGCACGCTGCAAAGCGTGCGTCTCTGGCCTTTAGGAAATACCCGTGAAA